CTGGAGGAGAAAGGGGGGGCGGGAGCGGGGGATAGCAATGACGGGAATGGGGAGGGGAGCAGGAGGGTCGTAGTACCCGAGGGACGACAACAACGGGGGCTGCAGCGCAGCCAAGCCATCCTGATCAGTGGCGAGGTGCGAGAGTGGGGAGGGGAACGGGGCATGCAGGCAGGGGCAAGAGAGAGGGGTCTGCTGCTGCTCTCTGGCAACGGGACAAAAACAAAGGGGCAGCGGGGCGAGTGAGGCGGAAGAAGAAAATGGTAGGGGGAGGAGGACAGAACGGCTGCTGCAGCGTGCAGCGACCTGCAGCAGAGCGGGATAGATAGTGCAGTACGATGTGAGTACGGATCCAAAGGTACTGTAAAATATTTCCGACATCTTTGTTGCAACGCCGAACTTCTTTCCTGCACGAAGATCCCCCCGGTTGAAGCCAGCGGGTTGTCAAGGTTCACCGACACTCCGACAACCAGGTCACAAAAACTGAAATTTGTTGCGAAGATTCGAAAACAACCCTCTCTTTGTGGCACAGTGACAGACCCTCTCTTTTCTCGCTGATCCCTTTCTCCCTCGCCCTGTGCTCTGTATGGATCCGCCATCCAAGGGTTCATCGTCCGGGCGTTGTCATCAGTCTCACAGTCCGCTGGGCCGTCGCGGCCTGTCGATGCACACCTCGCCATGTCATCATCTCTGCGGCACCCACGCCAGGCACCCCTCGTCCCATAGCCTCCGCCCCGCCACTGCCACTCCCCGCGGCTGCCGTCGACCTGTCGCGCTGCTATCGCCCGGGAGCATCAGGGCGCGTCGTGTGGGCTCTCGCACGCTCTATCCGCTCGGCATCTCACCCCGAGCGATTCCCTCGCGAGTCCTGCGCTTGGAGGGGTGTCGACGGGGAGGTGTCACCCCGCCAGTGGAACGGCGGAGTCGCCACACAAGGAGGTCAGGGACACCACTGATGCGCCCGGCGTGCGTCTTCTATTTCCCCCACCATGCCCAGGTCCAGGTCGAGGTCCTGCTCGGGCGCCCCTTTGTGCGCTGCTAGGACCCCGCCGCGCCGGTGCTGAAGCCCCGCTCCCTATCACTCTCTCGCCGCGTCATCCGGGGGCCCGAGGTGTGACGTGTTGGTGTGTGGTGTGGCGTGGCAGGGCG